ATTCGAAATTACCTGGTGGCATCTTCTTCCAAACGTTTCTGAAAAGATTCAACGTCTTCAATCCCATTTTGGCCAATGGGAAAGGTTTTGCCTTCCTTCACTGAGCTAGTATATGAAACATCTCTAAGACCGGTAGCGTATGTAGGTCAGCGTTATGCCAGTTCCTCCTATGAACAGTGGTGTAAAATTGAGCAAAGCTATGGATCGTTCTGGAAAGCATTTGAAGCATTGTATCCAAATCGAAATGAAGAGGAAGAGCTCCAGTACATGATTGCCGGATCAGACTTTGTTGTTGATTTGCTGGCTTGCTTGGATATCATGGGGCCTGTCAACGGTTGATCTAATGCTACGTGTCCAGTCGCTTGACACTCCTGTGTGGAAGTTGAAACTCTGGTGGCCAAGGGTTAAACCAAAGCCATCAGAAGTTGCTAGTGGTGATACAGTGCATTTCCCGCGATTAAAGAAAGCTGGAGAGACGTTGAAGCCTGGTGGAAAGTAGAAAGGAGTGGAGCTATTGAAAGGCCGGCTTGTCACAAAAGACGAGGAAAAACGAGTCACTGGAGGTCGATTTACGTGGAAACTGCGTGAAGAAAGCGACATTAAAGAAGATCACAAACGTGTTGCATCTGATCTCATGAATCCACTAGACCGACGAGTGCAATCTGCTGTGTCAGACCATTCCTTGACGGTTGTCCAGGCATTCGATGCGGCTGGTCTGGCGAGGCTACAAAGTGGCGCTTTATCGGCAGATGGCGTCGTGAAATTGGAAATAGAGCACGGCGAGTACGATACCTATGGCGTAAGAGCATGCGAGGCTGTCTTTCCAGTTGCTTCTAACATGGAACTTATCCAGAAGTGGGGAATGGATCAGGATCCTCGACTGGCATTCCGTTACCTGGACAGAATTAAAGAGGCTGTAAAAGTAGGTATTTGGAAAAGTCTATGTCCTACTTGGTTTATGGTTCAAGGTACTCATGATGAGCCATTGAAACACGAGGATGCTAGT